GTCTTTACCCGCCGCGGTGTCCCGCGTCAGGTTTTAAGCAGGCCTGCTCCCTCTCGACTCTTTAAGCCCCGTTATGGACACAGAAGTCACATCCGCCGTCAGACAGTACCGTGCTAGGCGCAGCCAAAGCAAAACCAGAATACTTCTGTTCGCTTCGTGCGAGTAAGCCCCCCAGGAAGCCTTTTAAATACCTGTGGGAGTGAAGAGCTCCTCCTTGGCTGGCCAGAGGTGCAGAGGTGTATGTAACCTTTTGAACAAACCCTTACAGTTCTGGCAGTACCACAGATACCTCCACCGGCGTGAACCAGCCCACGTCCATCTTTTTCATGCGTCACGCTGACTTGCGGGCGTGGTGGGGAGCTTAAGGCAGGGCACTGGGTGCAGTCTGGGGCTTTGCAAATAAAAAAAAAGGAGAACTGGAGAGAGTCTGGAAGAAGGCAGCAAGAAAAACAAGACGTTTAGGATGTCTGACCTGCCAGGAGAAGTTAAAAGAACCGAGTTTTTCTGGGGTAGGAGAGAAGAAATAAATTATGAGAGGATACTAATGTATAAAAGATCGTTCTGCAGCAGACTTCTGCTCTTCACATTTAACAAGCAAAAGCAAAATGAAATTAATTTGTGGCAAGGGAGCTTTAGGCTAATATTGGGAAAAACATTTGATGTGTGAAAAGACGGTAGCACCAGCACCAGGTACACAGGGAAGCTGCGAACCTGCCTTGTTGGCAGAGCCTACAGATGGGTAACGGAATGTCCCTCCGTGGTCGGAGAGCAGGGGCAGGGACGAGAGAGAGGGATTCTTTAGGGTCTCTGGCAAAAATGTCACTTTTTCAGCGTGTAATTAATCATGTGTATGTTTTTGTTTGCATTTTGTTGAAACAGCCTGTTGTAAGACTGATAGAAGAAGCCAGCTGCCGGGGTCTGAAGGAGGTTCGGTTTGTTACCTGGCATAATCAGTACATCTTAAACATCAAAGATGGATTCCAGCAGAACGCCTGTTTCAGGAGAGAAATCAAGAGGAGACCCCTGCTTCGCTCGTGCGTTGCGCTGATGCCGTTTTTACAGTACGTATCCCAGCAGAACGGAAACCTGGCGCGTGCTCGTCGTGTTGTTCCGTCCTTACGGTGTGGCGAGGAAACAGGCGTCGCTGGGTGGAAAATTGGGAAGGAATAATGAAAACTCTTGGTCATATTGGCAGCTCTCGCTTGCCGCTTTTCGAGATAAATATTATCTGAGGAGCTCCTTACTGCTGGGCTCTGTTTGTTGTTTAAAGGTCATAACGCACCTCGTGGGTTGCAGAACGTCAGAAGCCCAGATGTACTTCAAGTCTGCCGAAGCGTTGCCCAGCTTTCAGCATCTCCCCAGCTATCATGGTTGCCAGGCTGTTGGTTCCAGGTCCCATAAAACCATAATTTTCAAACCCAATTAAAACACACCTTGTTTTTATTGTCAGCTCAGCTGGGGGTGAACTTGCTCGCCCATCAAAGCAGAGCGAGGAAGGGCTTGCGCCGTAGTCATTTTTGATCACAACTCATAAAAATGCCATCTCTGTGATCTCGCCGGCCCAGCTGGAAGCGTTGTGGGCAGTGTTGGGCAGGTGGGAACGTCCGTCCCGTTCGGGGAGGGCGGGTGGTCATCGGTCTGGCCGGCAGCTTGGCACGCGGGGCCGGCGACGGAGCTGGGGCCGCTGGCCTAGGGTGGCACGCTCCCACCTCGCAGAGTCGTTAGCCTGTCCGACTGTGAGCTGAACGTGAGCTTGGTCGGAGCCTCAGAGCAGGCGGGTGTTGGAAATGTTTCTAGGGAGGGTTTTACGGGAAGGAAACCCAGAATATTTACAGAGATACTGGGAGGACGCAGGTGAAAAGACCAAGCGTGGACTTTCTGGTTATAGCAATTCCAATTATCATCCTAACAAAAAATCAGGATTTGAGGTATTCTCCTCCTGGTTTGCTACCAGTGGCTCTTTTACTACAGTGCAAGTCTGTAATTTTGATGTGTGCTAGAACTACGCAGCTCCCACCGATGTTAGCGGACGCTTGAGGGTTCTGCGCTCGCGAGGGCTTGGCCGTAGCTCTTCACGCCAGCTGCCCCGTCTGCAAACTGTCCTCTGAAACCTCTGTGCCTCCGCAGCAACCCTCATTCGTATTTCCTTTATCTAAAGACCTTGCAGTGCCTGCTTAAAAATTCTTAGCAGGAAATAGAAGAGTATTTTAAGTATTTGTGGGCGCTGTCCTTAAGCGGGCGGTATCAGCCTCCACTTACCACGCAGTGCTACCTGAGGCTTTTCGATTTCCCTCCCCTCCCAGCTGCCTGAATCTGTTACAAAATTGGGAAAGAATCCTTAAACAGAAGTCGTGGGAAGTGGGTGACAGTGGTTGACAAATGTTGACTTTTTACTGGCTTCCCTCGGATAGTAAATGCTTACAAATAATTTACAATGGTCAGAAGAAATGAACAAAGTGCGCCAAGGGATTGCAGGCGTTGTACTGTGTTTGATGGCTTAGTCACGAGTCCAGAACTTGCTGTTGGTCCGTGCTTGGTCTGCCAGTCCGAGTGTGAGTGAAGGAGGTTCGGCAGTGACATGGAGGAAAGAAAAAAAGCACACTGCAGTATTGCAGACTGCTATTTTAATAACCATTCTTAGAAAAATCCAGCTTCTGGGATTCTGTTAAACTATTGATAAACAGTGAGAAGAATTTTTAGTGGAGTCAAATCCATGCACATGAAGTGGGGTCTCCCTTTAGCTTTGACCAGCGGGTGAAAGCCACGTGAGCACGTTTGTAAAGAGCGGCTCTGCTCGGAAGGACGAGCGGTGTTCCAGCTCACCGTCGCGCTGAGCCAAAGCAAAAGTTTCCATTTAAAAATAGGCTTGTTTCCCCCACCTTTTTTCCTAGACCTGAAAGGCTCAACCTGCAGTCAGGAAATCACATTAAATTATAACTGGGTTGCACAAAAATCACTCAGGCTCAGACATCACTAGCATGAAATATTCCGAAAGGCAACCTTAATTGACCCTGCTGCGGGTGAGAGGTGAACAGCGGTAGAATTCTTATTTCTGGAGAGAATTCTGTTGGCTCTGGGGAGGAGAGCAGGCTGACGAGCCGGGGCGATCAGAAGTCGCTCCGTGACTGCGTTTCGGTGCCTCGGGAGCAGGTTGGCTGGGTGCCGGAGGCGCAGTCGCGCGGCGTTTCGGGCAGCGTCGTGCCTGGCAGAGCGGGGTTGGTTCCGGAGGAGTCACTGGAGAAAACGGCTTTGCCTTGAGCAGAGCTTGGGGGTTTGGTTGTTCCCTGGTGAACTTTCTTTCTACAACCACGGCGCAGGGAGTGGAGTTTGCCCGTCCTCCCTGCGTGCGGCATCCGACTGCGTGCGTGCGGGGCAGCAGGGTTTGGCCGCGGGTGGTGGCAAACCTTGGCTGGCCCAGGACGGACCCACGGCGGATTCGCTTTCGCCCAGGTCAGAACAGGTTTTCTCCCGGTGCTGTGGCAGGGATGCCTTAGCAGAACTCAGGTGACCTGGGAAGTTTCATGAACTGAATATTTACGAATATTTACATAATACAAATTTACATCATTTTTTAAACCTTAATGAAACTTCATTTAAGGTGCTCTGTGGGGTTTTGCAGCAGACTCACCTGGTGGCTTTCCGGGCAGGCAGTGGGCACCTGCGACTTGGCAGTCTGCTGGCAAGAGCTGCCTGCGTCCCAGTGCCCCTTCGCCTTCCTGGGGGCTGGTCCGGCCGTCCAGAGAGCTTCTCCTCTAAAAACACTTGGGTGAAATACTCGTCTGGTGAAGTTCTGAGAGCTCCGTACGTTCTTGCAACTGCGAGGGAACCTGACCGGCTGGCAGGAGCTGAGGGCCGGGCACTGAAAGTGTCAGAACCAGCGCCTGAGCCCACGAGCAGAGTGTTCCTGTTGACGTGAGAGGCAGAGCTCCAGCGAGCAGGGGTGACTCAGCGAGTGAGGCTGCCCTGTTGGGATCCTCAGCAGGTGAACATAAGCCACAAAGGCCACGCTCTTGATCTAAATTTAGTAGCTTCAAGAGTGTGGAAAATTCCACAGAGGTGCAGGTATTTATTAAGAGCAAGGTCTTGCCATGCCACAGTTGGTGTCCTTACCTGGATTTTTACTGGTGTGCCCTGGCTGCCAAGAAGGCCAATGGGATCCTGGGGTGCATCAAGAGGAGTGTGGCCAGCAGGTCGAGGGAGGTTCTCCTCCCCCTCTGCTCT